TTGTTCTCTGGCATTCAGATTTGGAGGCTCCATGTTCAAATCTGAATAAAGAAACAATCTTATTTGAAAAAAAAGCACATAAAATCTCTTAGTGTCTCAATTATTACAAAATATGAATTAGTGTGTTGAAGGGCTGTTTTCAAGACTTTTTTTTAGTAAGATGCCCAAAACTCCTGAGCTTCAGCCACAGATCTCATTTGTCTCTGCATGGTACAGAAAGCCACATGTGGATAATTATAAGGAAATTACAAATGACTGGAATTATGATGGCAGCTGTTAGCTTACATCACATCTGGTCTCAGACTTAGATTATCAGTGCTATTATTTTTGTTGCACAGGGCGTACATATTTTTCCATGCAGTAAAATTTTCAACATAATTGTAACATGTGAATGAGATTATTTCAACAGAAGTGTCCATAAATATGTCCTATTGCTGCATATAATATAGATGGCAGAACCAACAAGAACTTATTTAGCATTAGGCAGTAGCAATTTGGTAAAACTGCATGTCAAATTCGACATATTATAATGAAAAACTTGAATGTATTCTTAAATGCACATAAGTAGACACTATTAGCCACTAGAGTTTAGTAACATGCTACTGCAGACCCTGAGACATGCACAAGAAATGTTAGTCCCACCTTATTACATATATATATATAATCATGCTACTTGATCTTTGGAGATACTCACGATTCCTTGTTGTCATGCCTTGTTACACCATCTAGGACACAAAAACACCAAAATATATTATTCATCACTTTAACATTAACTGTACTTCAGGATTTTATTTTTATTTATTTCAAATATAAATCTCTATAAACATCTTCACTAATATGAAACCCCACACTGTAATGACAACTGATAGCAGTGCCTGAGGAGTAAGGAAAGGATGAATGGGTAACCTTTATAATCAATTTGACACAAGTTACACACAATTCTGTTCACCATGCATTGTACTAGCATGTTACAGGAATTAAAGTTTGGCTGACGGGTGAATAGTATGGACATTTAAATACCTATTCCTGTATGATAAAGGTTAATGATACTAAGCAGGATTGGAGGTTTTCATGGCAGAGAATATGAAGATGGCTCTCTTCTGGGTTATAGCACCATGTAGTTTGGTAGAAGTTCACTAATTGCTGCCTCCATCACCAGGGTGTCCTGATGAAAAAGGCATTCACCATATGCTGACTTTCCTCTTATTCTTTCATTATTTGTTTAATTTTATTGTAGTCAGCAATCAATTAATTTTTCATTTCAATCAATGTTTCATATTTTGGGCCTACAGAGTGGCGCACGAAATGTTTACCCCTTTAAATCCTGCACAAAATCTATATTCTTATAAAAGTGATGCATATCACATACACACTAAAAGACACAAGCATGGAAATTTGTTTTTAGTGCAGAACAGGTTCAATATGACTTCCAATCTGCCTCGTCACCTCTTCTAGATGAACTTGTAGGTTACTGATCACCTTATGGCAGAAGTCTTTTGAAAGTGTGTGGCACAGCTGGATGATAATGGCTCTGAGTTCCATTAAAGAACCAGTTTTCCTTGAGTACAGTTTGTCCTTAATGAAGCCCCACAGAAATAAATCACATGGATTAATGTCTGGGGTGTGGGGTGGCCAGACCTGTCAACAGTCATGACATCCAGGAAAATGATGAGAAATCACTCTGAGACCAAAGCTCTCATACAGAAAATCAAGGACCACATCAGCTGTGTCTGGCCCTTCTTTATCTTGCATAACCCACTGGGTTTTGATCAGCAATCCTGTTGCAATAAGTTGTGATGCAACATGGGTTGCCATATCAAGCCACGGAATAATTGGGCCATTCTTCTTCAATGACGCAGTGATTGTTACCTGGCATGTTTCTTTAGGGATTGATGGTCAAACTGTACCCAAGGAAACCTGGTTTATTAATGTAATTCAGAGCCATTATCATCCAGCTGTGTTGCACACTTTCAAAAGAAGAGGTGATGAGGCAGAATGGGAGTCATATTGAACATGTTCTGCACTAAAAACAACTTTCCATGCTAGTGTCCTTTAGTGTGTATGTGATATGCAACACTTTTGTAAGAAATATAGATTTTGTGCAGGATTTAAAAGGGTACACATTTTGTGCACCTCTGTGGGTTCCAAGTTACATATTTCATTTCAAGTTCCTTAATTTACTGGTTGTAAATCTCTAATAAATTTTTAATATGTTTACTCTCCTTATTTTGATTCTGCACATATGTCACAATCTGACTACTCTCTCCCTGATCAACTGTGGCCCTGGATTCAGCTCCACTCCTCCAATCAACAGCAACATTAACACCAGTTCCAGAAACCAAATTTGTTTTCCCAACACCACCTCCTTGCAAACTCCCACTGTAAGTTCCTTTATACAATTTATTAGGAAGGTGTTGATTCCGATATACAATATAATAGTGCATATTATGTCCACTACTGTTTTGTCTCTATGTAACCATACATGATTTAATGCATAAAATGCTGTATTTTGTATTTAATCAGGTTTATCAACTTGCAATGCTATGGTGTTATCTTACATCAGAGCCATCTGTTTTATAACCTGGAAGTAATGATACGTAAGAATAATTCAGTGATTATTTCTCACAGCATAATAACGTTTGTGTCAGTTAAAAGGTTAGCATTACCTGTCACTGTGTTAATTTTTATAACGCATGTAGAGCAATGTATTTGCGATCCAGCTGGTCATGCTGCTAACTATTAAACCAGGAGTTAATGTCCAGGTGGCAGCCCTATAATACAGGGATTTAAAACCTGTTACTACACGATAAAGGTTAAACTTAACTTTTTACGAAGTTTATTTAAGATGAATGTAAATGAGTAATCTCATATCACATACTTACAAGCATCAAGGAACAATTTATTATACATGTGTGATATAAGAAATAAGCAATGCCATTAGATCAGTATAGTTTATTTTGAGAAAAATTGGTCAAGGAGTGGGTGCTGTAGCTTGCTTAATACATTTTCATAAAAAAGAGTGCCACTTTATGAAAGCAAACAAGCAGCATGTTAAGGTTTTAATAGAAAACTGAGATGTACTGGATAGCTGTTAGAAGTGGTAATGTGACAAAACATAAACATCTCTGGCATGAAATGGTGGGCATGTTACAAGGGTAGTCTGACGAGTATCTAGCCAGGTTTGAAATTGTTAGGTAAAACCTCAATTCCAGTTTAACAAATATTCTGTTCTTTTACTGTCATGAGTAAAACAGTCAGTTTTCCCTTTAGTAATTTTCTTCTCAGCAAAGTCTCTATGACTTTAAGTAACAGTATTTAACATAGTCTGCATAATAATTCTAATGTTAACAGAAACAATTTATATAGCAATCAGAAATAATATCCTCATGAAACAATTAAATGTTTTATTACATTCTCCAAAAGTCACAGTTCTATGATTTAATTTATGAATGGCAGTAGGAAGAACATTCTCATGCAGCTTTTCTCAGAAATCACAATAACAAAATTCTGCACTATTTCCTCAAATTTTTATTTTATTTAAAAAATGTTTAAGTTCTTGTCATATCTACAAGATATGAACACAAAAGAAAATTGTTTCTGAGTAAAATTCCCAACCCACCCTAACTAAGTGATATTAAAAATGCATGATAGTTTGTGATAATATCTGATATTAATTCTAAATACAATTTTATTGAATCACATATCTATACTTAACCATTATTTATAAAATAACAATGCTAACACAAATTCTAAGTAAATATCTCTGTAATTCTGCCCAATCATATAGCTAAAGCTTGGATTGCTTCTCTATGTACACACTAACTGAGCTGGTAAGTTTCATAACATATGAAAATATGAAGTTATTAAGCACTTGCTACACCAATGTTACCAAATAGTAGAAATGATAAAGGTGATATTCCATGCTTTCTAGATCTCACTGTTAGATGAAAGTGAGTGTCAAATTCATGCTTCTACCATGGATTCCCCCATTTCCTCCCACAGGAAAGAAATCATGGTATCCAGTGGGTAACATGCTGGATGGTTCTCAGAGCCACTCCGGACATTTTGGTAAGAACAAATTCTGATAACTGCCAGGAATTTAAACCTGGTTCTCAAGCCTACAGCCAGCAACTTCACCGACTAAACTATCACAGAGTAATAAAGCACAGACTATAAGGATGACTGATGAAAGATGTTTAATATTAGCTAATATTTGTTGCATGGAACATTTGGACCATAAAAGATGTACTAACAAATTAATCAATTGAATAAAAATTTACTTGGATATTATCCATCGTCTAGTAAATATAAAACGTAAAACGACGTTTCGGAGATGGGACTCTATCTCCGTCTTCAGGTTCCTACACAGTTGGGCCCACTAGATAGAGCTAATCCCTATCTCCGGAAGACGGAGATAGAGTCCCATCTCCGAAACGTCGTTTTACGTTTTATATTTACTAGACGATGGATAATATCCAAGTAAATTTTTATTCAATTGACTCTTCACCATCGTCAAGAAGTTTTAGATTTGATAACAAATTATTGATGATTTTAACCAAGTAACTGATCAAATCAACACTACAAAAGAAAAAGGACAGTTGCAATAATTAAGACTCCCATCAAATTATACAAAATTATCGCTTCACTAACAGAAGACACGTTTAAAGTGATGGGAAAAATCTGTTTTTTTTATCTAACAGGCCAACTACACCTAATACTGGTAAAAGTGGTTCTGCTGATGATTTTACACACGTCTAACATTGGTTTGGATATTTGGTGCATGCTGTGCAGCATATTGATTTATAACTTCTTAAATTCAGATCCTCTTGTTCATCAGAACAAAGTTAAAAAGAACAATGTAATTTTTCAAGTAACTAAAGCAAACAAAAAGCATCTATTGTGTGTACACAGAACATAATACTAAAGATTCTGGCTACATTACACAGCCAAACTCATAATACTTATGATCCTGAGGGGCTGAAATTTTTTTTAATAAGACCTGAAGAATAATGAGCAAAAATCATGTAATTACTACTACAATAATGATGATAATTTCATGATTATATAAAGACCAGTCAGTTTCAAATTTTAATTTTGTACAACTTATTTATGAATCTGTACCCCATCCCATATAAATATTTATATTGTAGATATCATACATACACACAAGTACACACACAAACAAAAGAAATACTCTTTACCTCATTTCCTTCAAGAAAACATTGTTACAACATTATTTAAAATTGGAATGCATACACTTACAATAATTTCTCTTTCATAATCATCAAAATATATTATATGAATAGTTACACTAACAGATTCATCTAACTTTAAATATAAATCTTGTGTTTATTGTATACTCTTAAAATTATAAGTACTCCTTATTTTATAAACTACAGGACCATGGTTAGAATATCATTGGTGCTGTATATGGCAAATACTGAATGTAATTTCATCCTCATCACATTAACCATGATAACATTTGTTCTTACACTACCAAAAATATCCCCTTTGTACAGACCTGCCAACTGATACCGTAAAAGATAAAAAAAACAAAAAACAGATCATGACATGATATATGGATGTGAAGATAAAGTTTATGGGTACTCAACCAAGAGATTAGATGTAGATGTGTGGTCACATCTGTGCTGCAGCAACATTTCAAGATTTCATTTGCACTGGACACGAGGAAATCCCAGTGTTCCCATTAGCAATCCAATTCCATCTACCCAGTCTCATTTTATGTAAATAATATAATTAAAAGTACAGTGGAACACATTTTTAATCTTACACACAGAAGGAACTGATGTCTTGTTACCTTTCCGTTCAGAATACTATATAATATAACTATGAATTTTTCCCTATTCAGATATTTAAATTTCATGTGAAAGACATTACTAATTTTGCCTGAGATGTCATCCTAGTCTTAAAAATGTACCCTCACTGACACTTGAGTGTGGAGATGGAGCATAATGATATAAAATAAGACTTCTGAAACTTCACATTATCCCGTTAAGGCCAACTAAATCTGCAAAGACACGCATGAGAGGAAGTGGTATATGAAATAAGCTACTAAAAATTTAAAACACTGTTCATGACAGAGTATTAGAAAGCAAGAAGTATTTCAATAGTTTTAACAGAATCATTATTCACTGATCAACTGGTACCAATGTGACTGACATCTATAATCATAACCATTAACAGAGAAATCTGTATTTGAGTAGGGGGAACTTTACTGTTTACAGAGGGTGACATGGTCAACATATCTGCCACAGCACTGGTATAATACCATTTAAAAATATCACATGTTTAACCCAACGTCCTCCGCATTTCTCTTGTGTTAGCAACACCATTTTGTGATCAGTGAATGTCACAATGCATTCATTCCGAGAAGCAATGCTATAGTCAGCATAGCATAAGAAGAACAACATTCCAGGCATTTAATCTCCTAAGTAATGTTAACAGCACAGCAGATTACTATATGACAATTATGGTGACAGAGAGGCAGATTTATTTGGCAGAAGTTAAACATTAAGCATAATTTGTATCACACAATGATTTAATGTCACAATTGTTTAGAAAAAATTTTTACAGTGCAAAAACAACAGCTCTCCCCTAGCACAGTTAAACCCATGGCCGGATGATAAAATGAGCCATCATCTTTAAACTGTCATGTGCACCAAAATCTATTCCACCCATGTTCCTCCATATTCATGTAAGATACTTCAGAAAGATCTACAACTCCTTAACATGTACAGGCAGATTTCTGATAATGTAAGAAAATATGCACTAAATTAAATGTTATCAGCATCTCTTTACAGATTACACATACAAGAAACTTGCAGTGTTTCATTCTTCAGGAATGCTATACTGGAAACAAGATATCTGTGAGACTGAGGTCCCCATACCTCATCTGCCTGGCCATCAATGTCAACGAAGCTCAGAGATATCTTGCTACAAGTATACTTATAAATTCTGCAGTCAGTATCTACAGCAGCAATTTTCAGCAACTAGCAAGTTACTTACACAAATTATACAAAAAATAAAGTAACCAGATCTGACGTTTTACCATCCAATTTTGAGACGTGTATGTATGACCTGATTAAACTCAGTACAATTTTTACGTCCCATGACTTGAATGAAGAAGTCTCCATATAACATACTTCTACAAATTAAATGTAATGAAATAATTCTCAATCTGTTGTTCAAATTTCGTATTCATACTCCATACATGTTTGGGAATATCCATATTGAATTACTATATAGAACAACACGGCTACATATATTTCTCTTACATGAATGTAACAATGAAATGTTGGTCAATAGTATGCAAATGGACCACACACCCTGCAGGTCTCCACTGACACCTGATGCCTGTCAGTGGACATGCAACAAACATAAAATATTTGAGATTTGTGCTGCTCATTAACCTTACAAACCACAATTATATCAACACCAATTAAAAACCCCACAAATTGCTAGCATTAGTTAAATCATTCTTCCACCTGACACATCTGATGTACGCTGGAGATGTGATTGCTTATGTTAGAAGATAATAATTGGAGTCATATTTTAATAGATAATTTCTTTGAATAAGAAATTCATTCAGTTTCCATCACTGATTAAAATATAACACGTCATTTATTTTTTAAACAATTCTGGCCTAAATTATACATATAGTTATCTATTTGCTGATATTAACCACAAAGTTCATTTTTAAATGAAGTGACTATTACAAAAAACTGAATACATACTGATATGAACAAAATATTAAACTGAAGAACCATTAGATCACACTAGGTTTTCATGAGGTCATTTGTCACCACACTTGTACTAATGAGGTTAAACAGTGACTGTTAAACTCTCATAGTCCATGAATATTTTTTCATGGAAAAAAGGACCTAAAAAACCATAAACCACACACACACTCTGAATTGGTATTATGGGATGTCCATATCTAAGGTACAGATCTAATTTAATATCTGCTTCTATATTCTGCTGATTTCCTCTTTTCAGTTTCAGCACTCTGGGCCAGCCAACAGGCCAAACCTTATCTACTAAATTTCACCGTGTCTGAATACAGACAAACATGAAATACCAGATTCCTTCTTCAAGTAATAAAGTAAGTGGCTTACACTCTGCACACTAAATGAGAACAAAATAAGTGGAAAGATTGTACACTTATTGTCTTGTTTTAATTATGACAAATTACATACATCTGAACATCCTAAAACTAAAATCATTGTGGAGTGCTGATATTATCACAACTGCTTGTTTCACACTAGTTACAGGCCAGTTCTATACCTTCACATTTGACACCACATCTAAAATTGTACTTCAAAGTAGATTTTGAGGGTTAGAGGAGGATAGGGGTGGGGGGGACAAAATTTTAACCATTTAACTGCTACCTAAATACAAGCATCTGAATTCCCATCTCTTCCACACATTTCAAATGGAAAAGATATCAACCTTTCAGCAAGGAAGGATTGCTCTAACATTTTCATGTACTCCACTGATCTAACAAATTTTACATTGGTTGCACAAGGACATGTTTTTCATTGCAGCCTCAGTTTCATAGCAAACTCAAGTAGAAAAGACCAATTATGACAATGGGATAAAAAACAAAAAGTGGCACTGACGTCTAGACTAATCATTCATAACAGATATGTCTGAGGATATAGGGAAAAAAATATACCAACAGCAGCAGACAGAAGAATTGCAGTCACTGCAAATTAAAGGTTCATAATGCAGAATGTCAAATACAGTGGCACTGCAGCAGTTAAAAAGTTAAAATCATGAGGAACAAGAGACTTGATTGTCAATGATGTACACAGTGGCTATTAAAATAAATTGAAACAAAGAAATAACAAGAAATGGTAATACAAATGCATAATAAATTCTATACAGAGCAAAAATTAAGTTATTCATAATTATGACCTAAATTTTTATGCGCATACTCGTGTATGTGCATAAAAATTCAATACTGTTGTAATAGATGAGAAAACAAAAAAGTGTGTGAGAATGTTGTATTGGAATTAACATGATCATTGTAAGGGAATGACATGGGCTTGCATTGTTTCTCACAAGTTTCCACATATCTTAATCTCTGGGTAGAAAATTAATGTGAGAATATATGCTACACATAATACACTTGGTATCACTTTATCCAGAATGGGTGTTTGCCAACATGCATGGTCTTAAAAAATATAACCATAAATAACAGCGGTCATTATTTAAAACTTAGACATATTACTAAAAATGTTTCTAAGAATGGTAAACATTTTTAACCCTTTCAACTTTCCTTTTGCATGTACAATATCCAATGTTTGTTGGTGTGGAAAATGCCTACAGATATGGTTTTACCAAATTTCCTGGCATCTCCCAGACCCCCCCCTCCCCCACCTAAATTCATTCCTAAGGTTGTAGCAGCCATTTTCTTCTACTATCAATGATAAGATGATAATGACAGATGACAGAGGGGACCTATAAGTCTAGATTTATTATGGGTGAGAAACTGGAGTTTACAGCAAAGATCACTTGCTTACGAGAACATTCTTTACAACAAAATTTCTGTCAACTGGCAATAATCAAGGATGCAGTAAATCATTATAAGACAGAGAACAGATGGCAGCACAAATTCAGTAATAGAAAGAGAAAATCAAGAATTGGTGGTCACTACCTGGCTGGAGACTGGAACAAGGACTCAGGAATGGTGAACATACTCCAACCACCAACAGCTGAATGGAAAGGGTCTGTCCCAAAAAAATTACTTGTGATGGCTGAACAAGAACCTCTTAAGAGTATTGTTACATAATTGTTAACACATATAACATATCAATAAAGTTTATCATAAAAAACTTACTAATATTTCTGAGAATGTTATGAGAATATATCATCTTTACAATGTTCAATGCCAAACAGATAATAAGCTGCCCAGCAGTATGCATCACACTCATGTTGAGATCACCCTATACAGTTTTGTAATATCACAATTAATTATCCGAATGCTGGAAACATTTAAAATATCTCAATAAACATACATATATACTGTGGCAGACTTCTTATGTGATGTAATTACAAGGGAACAACCGGTGTTTAAACAGTCACCTGCAGATTACATTTGCTTTTGAAGAATCTTGTAATGTATCGCATACTTTAACAACCACACAATATTAGAATTCATAGGTAACTACATTTGTTATAAAATTTAATTTCAATCATTCATATTTTCTGCAAACCCTGGAAAAAGTCAATAAGTAAATAATTTCTGAGGAGCATCAGTTACTTAAAACTGAATGTGGTTGCAACGAATATTTTGTTCATAATAACAGCACTGCAGATTTTTGTTCGTGAACTGTTGACGTGAAGTGCGTTGGACCCTCGTAATGCCAAAAAAATGATCTACCACAGAAGTTATAACAAAAACTGAATGAAGACAGTATCTGAAGCTTTGGTGGGGCATCATTTTATAATACCACTGTCTCTTTTTTAAAAAGAGAAAATACTCATTACATTTACCATTAAACTACCATGTCTAAATGCAACATGTTTCCAAATCTTTGCAAAAATGAATACACACATGGTCAGCAACCACATGTCACATCACACATCAAAATCAGAAACATTTCTTGAGAACCTGCACATATAGGATGAGCACACGGAAACACACACAATACTATCTTCCATCTCTCTTCTATATTTGTTCACTAAGTTTCAAATTTCCAATATAAATCTGGAATTTGTGAGGCAGTATCACTGCATTGTTGCTATGCACACAGTAACATATTTGTTACTTTGATTTACAGATCTTTCCTAATTGTAGGTTGCCCTGTTCATGGGACAGAAGACAATGAGGATCAAGGACAATACCACTGACAGATGCCACACATGCCTGTTTCTCACAAAAAAAAGGGGGGGGGATTCCAAAGTGACATAAATGAGAAAAGGCCCTCTCACGCTGTCTGCACGTGTTTAGCTCAAGAAATTTTGTACCAATTGACAATTTATACAAAACTTGAAAACTGAACAATTAAATTAAAAACTAATGGACTAATTAATACATGTTACTGTAAATGGTGGTTTTTAATGTTAAAACTCTATCTACAACGTGACTGCTTCTTGGCATAAGTAGCTGATGATCTACAAAAATCAACTTCTTTAAATACCTTACGTCATATGCTGAATAGGTTTCTGACTGCTCACACAATACAAAACCAACAATAAGAGCTTTGGATAACATGAAAAAAACTTTTTCTCACAACATTTTATTAAAAAAGGTAGGTTTCCTGAAGAGAGAATCAACATTTATGTCCAATGGCATAAATGATTTGTAAATCTGTGTGATAAAACCAGATTTACTTAAAACATCCCAAAAATTAAATCCAAATAAACTATCAATATACTTTTCATCCAACAATGGCTATAACCATTATTAAGTATTTTTTAAAAGTAACTGTTGAAAATAAACTGATAATTTCTGAGAACTGATGCCTATGAAACATCATTAGGATGACAAATAATGTCCTTGAACCCCAATATCCTCAAACATTTTGTTTCATTAACAGGGACTCGCACATACAAAAATATCATAATGCTATAAACAAGTACATTACACACTACTTTTACACCAAAATTGAACAAACAAGCATCACTCAAATGAGCAGGAGATTCAACTGTCAGTTTACCTGCCATAGTAGAAACTGCGTAAATGAATTGGCATACTGCACTGTCAGTTCGGCGTACACTCATAAACATTTGGTATTACAATTCACAAAATATCTGCTTCTTGTAAAAAGAAGGGTACTTTCACAACAATAAGAACTGAGATTACACATCCCTCTCTCAGAAGGGCTATGGATATTTGAGTTCACTGTGGTTCAGAACAATGACAAATATTTACTAAAGCACAGCTGATTCTGTAACCTGCCATCAACAAAGTCAATGTATTCTGGGTTGTAATACAGTATGGACTTGTAGGTAGATAACACTGTCCCTCTAAAACATTATTATCCATCTATAATTTAACATGGCATTACCACTCAGTAGCTACATCAACATCTTCAATACTATGAGAACCTCAGATTTCATATACTGCCAACAAAATTAAAATGTGTTATATCCAAAAGGTAAATCCAGTACTTTCAGAGGAATTATATATTTGTTGCTCCTACTTCAGTTAGTAACCTATAGTAATTAACGCACTCACTGCTTTTCAAGTGGTCATGCTCTCACAGTACCAAAAATGGTACCATCAAAGTTATAATATTTTATGCATTTTCCAAGTTTCCAAACAACTTCACACAAAACATCAGAGGTTTCTGAACAGACTTTGGAGGGGGGGGGGATTATATATAGACAGAATCACTTGTTTTATTGAATGAAAAAAATACTTTAGCATGGTTGCTTGGCCCACAAGTTTAAAACTGGCATTCAGATGCCTGGCAGTGAATGTGACAACTTAAGAACTCCCAATGCAAAGAGAAAGTAATCAAAGTATAAATACAGCAACAAAGTTGACTAATAAGTGCAAAGTGACTTGATCAGTATTAATTAATATGCATCCTTACGGTATTGAGGATATAGGGTTTGTCTTTATTACTAAAAATACCAAATCTCTAACCTATAAACTACATTTTAACTTCTTTTTTAAAGACCTAGTCAATTTCTGTACAGTTACAGGTTACAAAATCAGTGTGCCGTCATACTAAAATCCACTGCCACCACACCAAGTTCAAAAATATACATCGCTTAAACAGGTGTGTCCTTGTCGTTCTTCTTTGCGTCCTGTGGATTGTTGCCATTGATATATTCAGTGCTGATGTTGTGATTGACTGATGGGTTTTCCATGCCCCCCTCCCCTTCACCTTGTTGACCTGATGCAGGTTTCTCAGTATGGGCATGTTGCTGGTTCTCAGGATCAATATGAGCCTCACTGCTTGAGTGGCTTGTGCCGCCGCGACCAGTGCCACCTGCTGAAAGAAACAACAACCACACACTCGGTGAAGGCAAGTGATGAGATTTCTCCATGTACATTTTGTTATCAATACAGAGAAGACTGCAATGGTTAGCAACTCTTAGAAGTTATGCCAAAGTGTATGTTACAGAATGAACTGATAATTATTATAATAATAATTCCAAATACAAACATGATTTCAGTACTAAAACAAAATTAACATGTCTCTAACAATGAGTAATGTGTTGTAGATTCATGTCCATAGCATACGTATACTTGACTTCTAGAAGCTGGAAAAGAATGATGTGCAGCAAAGGTTATAAATATTGAAATATACTTATATTTTTCAATGTTCATATCAAGTTAAATAGAATATATGAAGCATAATTTTACACATCTCATTTTCTTCAAGCACAAATCTCATTCTGAGTAACTTTAAAAAATATGCAATATGAAAATCTTCCTGAAGAAAGTCAAGTATTCATCAGTTCTATAGAAATCCAAATTATGTTATTTTCAGAAATTTTTATATGAACTTACATATATGTCGTTAAGTACGTGTATTCTGAGAAGTAATTCGTGTAATTACATAGCAAGTAACACACTTCTGAGTCAGGGGCAGGGATGAAGATATGACAGAATCATGCATTTAACAGAAAATAATAACACTGTCATTACAAGATGCTGGGTCCATTATAAACAGAGACATGAAGGAGATGTTTACTTTACCAACAGCAAAAGAAAGGGTCCATAAGCACTTGCCTTCGCCGAATATTGGTTCTTGCTTCTTAACAGCAGCAAATACAAGCAGAATGGAAAGAAAACTTGACAAGCATTAACCTACATGGTATGTAGGGCATGCTTAAAGCAACAAATTATTGGTGGGCTGGGCAATATTAATGCTATGGTAATACATACATGCTTTGCAATAACAGCAAAAGAACACAATTTCTTTCTAGTATATCAAATCTCATTTAATCAACTCTGAAAGGTGATATATAATCATTAATGTGTAGATTATGAAGTCTGTACAATTTTATCCTACTTATAGAAATATGATCATAAACACAATCCATTTTTGTGCAACTCAAACTGAGCCTTACCCTTTCCAGATCAAGAAAATCATCTAAATTTTCTTATCAGTCTACTCTCATTGGTTAGGAAGTGTCTTATGTACAAGAACACTTTCTGCTTGTAAGTTTACCTTAATATTCACAATATATTCCCCTAATAATGGCAGAACTAATGATAGTATTTACATCTCCTAAATATAAAATACCAATAAGCAAAGTACGTATATAGCAAATACTGTGACAAGACAGTGAATATATGAAACCATTTAACACGCTGCACTGTATCATACTTACAAATTAATTTATTGCTGGCTTTATAGTAAATTATGTGATACAAGAATGCATTAAGTCCAAAAATACTTCTGGGCATTATGTTTTATAAAATAAATAATTTAAGAACTGCAGAGATAGTTCTGTCAGGAAGCTGACAACAATGAATGAATGCTAACATGAGTAAAACAGAAGTTACAGCAGCTGTGGACCAGCTAAACTCATTCAGGGTTCTCTTCCCTCAGATCCTCCAGACATAATGTGATAATACCTGAATAGTATCTAATGATGATGGTACCTAGTCATAACCACATACATCCACATCTCATTCACTGATAAATAACTGAACTTCAGCGGTTGTAAAATAACTGCATTAACAACCATTCCATCCTCACATTACCCCAATTGAAAAGTTACAGAACTGGGCAGGCATGAATCTCTGCATGCAAGGTGAGGACTGTAGGAAGTGTCTTTAAATCAGTATTTTGCAATAGATATGCCATGTCTCAGTAGACATAAGGGAGGTCATAAAATTCCTTAATGTAGACAGAAAAATATAACTATTAGTACTATAAATTAATACGTATTCATTCATAATTGTTAACTATTTTTACCTGCCCTACAAAAATAATTTTAAAGTTTGACGGTTTCTGATGTTTGTGTGACACATTGTATTATTAAAAGCAAACATTTGGAAATTGTTTCTACTTCGTCATCAGGTGAAGGGTGGACACAAGCCCAACTTACTTAGGCACCCTGGACAAGTTATTCTCAAATCTGGACCAACTTATGAAACATTATGGTTTTAAAAACACCAAAATAATGGATAAAGTAAAAATGAACAATAATTTAACACAAAGATAATTTCACTATTCTGTTTCCCCTTTCATATATAAACCTATAGGATGAATGGCCATGGTTTAAATTCTTGTACAGGCACTGGAATGTTCTCTTTAGTATCCTGTAGTTTCCTGAATGACACTCAGACACACTTAGCCTCATATCCAGCAGGTACTGGCTGCCCTTTTACCAGGTATAAAGTAGTAAGAGCATGAAGTGACATTTCACCATCTAATGCTGAGATCTAGAATTCATGGAGATTTTTGTTCCATGACTAATTTATGCCTTAATATGTAGTACTTAGAAAACAGGTAACTAAACTTTCCTCCCTCATTATTATTATTATTATTATCTCAGGTCAAATTCTTTTATATATACACGTGGGTATAGCGTGCACGCTCACACACACACACATACAGAGAAGACAACACAGGATCTACATTGAATATGTCTTGCTTACAAGATGGAATAATATACAAATCTTTGCAAAACAACTTTCATGCTTGTACTGAATTTAGACCAACCCATTCTAAATACATAATTTTCATTACCACACTTTTTTCTAAGTGTATGGCCTTTCACTTCCACTCCTGACACCACATTTCTGTAATATGAATTATTTGGAGTCCCACTAACCTTTCTCATCTTTGCATCACATCTTACACACATTCCAGCTTTATGTCCATACTGCTAAGCTGATAACTGCAGAGTTAAAGTTTGGCTGGCAGCTCAGTGGTATGTGAATTAAGCCACCTTCTCATATATGATAAAGCTTAACGAATACACTTAAGTCAAAGGAACTGTTTAAATTTTCCTAGTAGTGATTAAAGTAAAGAGATAGTGAAGGAAACAGCTTTCTTAAAATCCACTGTTTCTTCTGTTAAATTTAAATGTAGGTTTCTCATACTATATATGTGTAAGTCACTGGATGAATAAATAATAAATTAGGCATACAAAGTTAGTTTAGGTTGACAAGATATACCAAGAGGTTGGAAAATATGAAATAAATTAAATATATATAATGGCTATATCACAGAAACCCTTGTATCCTCATAAAATGTTCAAAAAATTGTCTTATTTATTAACCTTCCTATGATCAGCTGCTTTGTACTGTCTTTATATGTATCCAAACAACTAAAAAAATTATTTATTATTAAAAATACAATATTATCACTCAAACACCAATTTCTTGGGTGCTCTCATATTTAAAGATTCATAGAAATTAAAACAGTAATTTTTAAATGCTTCATAAAATCTATGTGAAACCAGATGAAATATCTTAACAAAAGCATATAGTTCAGAAATACCAAAATTAATGCATGTAATGATGAATAGCAAGCAACTCTAATAGAGGAAACTGAACTGCAGAGGTTAGGAGGGTTTCAATTCAAAATTAATGTTTTTAAATTACAAGTGTAAAGTAAATAGTTTAATATTCTGCAACTAACTACAAGACTACTTTTTCTCCCCCTAAAACATTTCATCTTTTTGTGGATCATGTGACAACCAAGCCATCTTCCTATTTTTGCCTTACCACAACTGCTCCACCTCATTGTTTTCCTGTGTTCTTCATTCTTTCTGTGTAACATCTTTCCTATCATTTCCATATATGTTAGTCTCCCTCTTGCACATTTTACTTTTATTGTCATGTTCAAAACCTTCTCCTTTTACCAAGACCTTTTTTTGGGATTCTCTCTTCATTTATTCTCAAATACATCCACAGTATCTTATTATGTTATTTGTTAATCTGCCTTCCAAAGTGTCTAATTTTAAATGCTCAGGTTAATCATACATTCTTCATTCAACACATAACATTGTCCCTCCGCCCATTACCTTGGTCACATTTTGAGCCTCATTTTCTTGGAAAGGAAGATAGGGATAAAATATTCACTCTATGGGTCGTTACAGTCCTAAAAATTAAACTGTTTCTTTCCATTTTTACCAGTTATTTATCCCACTCTCAAAATCTAACAAGATGAAACAAAACAGAAAATATAACACTTAAATTTTCTGTGCAAAACAGGTATTTTCTACCTAATAACAAACTGCGTGCAAATGACATACACAATGCAGTGCTAATATCCATGCACAGGAATAAAGATAAAGATGTAAACTTACCCAATTGCATGCTAGACTTTACGCTTTATTTAATTTCCACGTATATTTTGTTTTTAGATT